GCGGGTCTGGCCTAGGGATTTTTAGCGGGGTTTTTTAAGGGTATTTTAAGGATAATTTTAATGATCGGCCTTCTTAAATATTTCCTTTTAATTTGGTTTTTAATATAGATATCATTGTATTTGTATTGTGGTTTTTATGAGGCTGTTAGCCGCCCTGAGTCCCATGAGGAGAAGGGCGGGGTACAAATTAAATTAATAATAATAATAATAATAATAATTAATCTAAAAAAGGCAACTCTATCTTGTGTCTTAAGCTTCTACCTTTGTCAGATGTTTTACTCTTCATCATTAAAGGTATGCAAATGAAAAGGATGCAAATCTAGCTGGATAATGTTCACTTAGTGATGGTTGAAGGTAGGGGGTAGACTTGTTGAGTTAAAGAAGCTACAGCAATTTGTATGTCCTTCAGCATAAATAACTAATAAGAAAATAATCATTTATGTATTGTTTAAATGGTAATTTAAGTATGTAAAAACCCAACACTGCAGTACTTTTAAATGTCAATTAATTGCATTTCAAGTCTGTCTCACTAACTTTCTTAGGCTTTCTCCTAAGAGGAATATAGAGGAATTCAGCTCTAGTTTTTAGATTACTGAATACAGGAAATATCTCTAAGTTTTCTAAGTTTTTTCGTTCCCTAGTTTAGAGGGATAGAAGGAGTAGATAGCTGAATGCAAAGATACAAGTGTGTATGTGTGTATTTGCTTGTGTGACCAATCTAGTCTTTAAGAAATCAGTATACCAAATTTGAGACATTCATTTAAAGGGAAAAACATCAGGAGGATATATTTTGATTAGGGTGGATCACAAAGAAGATTTACCCTCATTGCTGGGGTTGCCCAGGATCTTCTTGACTTCAGCATTTGTTGGGTTCTGTCCAAGAGCACGGATGACATCTCCAACCTGGCTTAGGGTGATTTTGCTTTCCCCGGTCCTGTCAAACAGGAGGAATGCCTCCTTAAAGTCTACAGAGAATAGAATGTAGGAGTTACTAGAGGCAAACATTGAATCCATAAAGTAGCTATAAGCAAGTACTTGTAAAAAAAAAAATCCAGATTCTCTACCACCATATCCAACAGCACCATATTTCAAGAATTTTACCTGCAATTTTAATGTTTTGTTTTGTGGGGTATTTTTTTTCATTATCTCTCTCTTCCCCCTCCCTTCTCCTTTTTTTTTTCCTTTAGGAGCTAAAGAAATCTCTTAGCTGAGACAAGAAAATGAAAACAAGAATGTTGTCATTTTCAAGAAAAATGGCTTGGATGATTGAACTAATATTGCCAATAAAACATTAAATGACAGCATATGCATGGTAATCTATACTAGTTCTTCTGTAAACATTTTCCTTGCTGCTCTCTATAAGCAACTTTGTGATTTGGTATCCTTTTGAAGTCATAAAGTAATATTAAAGTAATTTCACACATACCGTCAATTGATTAAATTAATTAAGCACTACTGATATTGCTTTATCAATAGGTATCTGAGAGTTTTAGACCAATGCAACTATAAAGCTTTGAACTCTGTGGCAAACTGCCTTGGTGTGAAAATGCTATATACTCATGTAAATAATATTAAGAGCTAAATTCTAGAACAAAATGTCAAAAACAGCATTCAGGATTTGATTTATGGATATTTCTGAGAAGTATTTGCTCTGTAAAGAATTGTTTCTATGTTGAAGATTTTGGGTATTGATTTTTTTCCAAAAAAGAACTAAAATGCTGTCTTTTACATCTCCTTTATAATGACTTCTTTAACCTAGAAACTAAATCCATAGATCAGGGGTATCAAACTGCTGGTCCACAGGCCGGTTGCATCATGCTGAGGCCATGCCCATCCCAGCTCCGGCAATGGGAAAAAAGTCGTGATATGTCGCAACACGTCATGTGATGCGGGGAATTTGACACCCGTGCCATAGATGATTCAAGATTTGAACACAATTATGAGTAACCCAGGGGTCATTTCTCCATCAACTAAGTTCCTGTCACTGTCATCAGCAATACTCCAGCTATCAGTTTGTGTTAAATTCACTTATCTTAATGATAAACTTCCCAAGGTTCAGTTTTATAAATTTTAGATTACTAAAGTGAGTGCAGGTAGTCCTCGACTTACGACCACAGCTGAGCCCCAAATTTCCATTGCTAAGCAAGACAGTTGATAAGTAAATTTTGCCCCATTTCATGACCTTTCTCGCCACAGTTGTTAAAGTGAATCGCTGCAGTTGTTAAATTAGTAACATGGTTGTTAAGTGAATCTGGCTTCCTCATTGACTTTGCTTGTCAGCAGGTCACAAAAAGTGATCACATGACCCTGGGATGCCGCAATAGTCATAAATACATGACAGTTGCCAAATATCCAAATTTTGATCATGTGACCATAGCGATGCTGAAACAGTCATAAGTATGATAAACAGTCATAAGTCACTTTTTTAGTACTGTTGTAACTTCAAACAGTCACTAAATGAATGATTTTAAGTCGAGGACTACCTGTACAGTATTTGATTTATGGGGGATATTATCATTATCATTATGTATTAACAATGCCATTGTTGCATATGCATTATTTTTCATATTGGCTAACATTTTTGTAAATTCACTGTAAAACTGAATATAATTCCCATTCCTGCTATTGTCTTCAAACAGAGTGCTTCCATGTTAAAATATAAAATCGTTTGTGTCTGCTCCAATTCTGAATGACATGGTAAATGGCAAATCTCAGTAGAAGTATATAATGAGAGTTGCTATTCACCATGTTACTAATTTGCATTTTAAGGCTTGCAAACCAAGTTTTGTTATTAGTATGTTATGTGAACTCAGCCAATGATTTTCAACTGCAGTGGTGCATATATTTATTAGATTTTAAATAGAAATATATTAAAACACTTTCTAAATCACATGTGTCTTAAGGAAGGAAAGAGAGGATTATTGATGTAATGGAACCAAAATAAAATGAGATATGAGTATATCCTTATCATTCACAAATCTAAACACTGATTGTTTTCCAGTGTGGATGTTATCTGTTAGAGATGTGAGAAATTGATGTGAAGCAGCTGCATTGCCAAAGTCACATTTCAGCTAGGACATCCACTTTGACATCTGATTCCTTGAAGACTAGTCATTTTCCCCACCTCCTTTTTCTAAAGGAGAGGAACTTCTGAACTGAATTCCAGAAAAATAGGTGTGGCTATGGCCAGGTATCTAGCCCTCCCACATGTGCCTGAAGCAGCTTCTCCCATGAATTTCATTAGAGTCTTCCCGATCTGGTGCCAGATAACTCATTCAATTATTCAAACAGTTAATGGCTTGTTATACAATTGCCAGCTGGAAATGCCAGGCACTGAATATTGATAGTAAAATAGAAAGAATCAGTGACACAAAGGTATAGGATTAATATTGATTCAGTTTGATTAGTTTAGTCATATGATCAAGTATACAGTCCTCATTAATTTTTCATAGATGCTTTGTGCTGCTGTCCTATTTTAGGGTTTACTCCAGCCCTTCAGGAGCTTCTTTGGCCTCTTCTAAATTGCTGAGACAGGACATATGGCTCATAGACTGTAACTCAATATATTTGATATTAATCCCATCACTATCTGATGTGTGGGACCTATGAAGTCTCTTGTTGCCAGATCCTCTCTTCTTACAGCTTATAAAATGTTGGCCTTTTAGAGATGTAGAAGGAAAGTGCTACATACTTCAAGATTTATACAGTAGTTCTTTGCTGGATACCAAGAACAGAACAACCTTCATTACCATCACCAGTATCTCTCTGTCTAGCAAATGTAAACACCACTGTAATGCTATTAACAATAGCTAGTAAATATATATAGTGAGAAACAAATTTGAAAATGTCTGCAAACACAGCCAACCCACTTATTGTGCATTTAGTGGGTAGTTACTGTGTAGCAGACAAAATAAAATATGTTTAAACATAGTCTTAAATTTTAAAAATGTTTTTACTATTGTTGTAGTTTGATATCAGAATAATCATCACAGCAAAACAGGTGGCCATTGACAAAATATTTGTCTAATGTTTTTTCTCTGCTTTACATAAAGATATTGCAACAGAGGTTATTCTCACTTTACTCTCCACGAAGCTTAGTCTCCATGAAGCTAAAATGTTGCTTTTACAGGAGACAGAATAAATGTTGCTTAGAAACAAAATTAAATTCTAAATTTTCAGCAATAAAAACAAAAGTGGTCTAGAAGTAAATATTCTTAGTGTTTCTCCACTTTTTTAATATATAATTTTTCTTAAGCTAAGAAATTTATCACAAAAATGGCAACTTATCATTTATATTACTGTAATCTGAATAGGGATAGTAATCTATTATAAATGCTCACTTACTAAATTATGTTCCTAAAATCCTTCTAATTCATCATACTTCACTTGATATTGACTTAAAAATTAATACAAATTGGTATAGTAAATTCATGTTAATAAATTAAAAGAGATTTTCAACTGAATATACTTTGTAGCCAGAATAGACTTCCCATCAACTTACAGATGAAACAAATGCATATGTGTATATTAACTTTAATAAGGGCATATGAAATCATTAGTTTTACAACAGCAACATGACTTCAAACATGATATACAGAAATTAGTAATGAATCTATATATATGCCTGTTGCTGTTAAATTGGAAGCTGCAAAAACCACTTATTATTATTACTATTACTATTACTATTATTATTACTATTACTATTATTATTATTATTATTATTATTATATCTAAGCATTATGTTTGACAACACAATTAATTTGGCAAAGCATTTCTACAAAGGTACTTTTGATGGAAGAATAATGTTGCAATATTACATTGAAAGGTACCTGTTTGGACAAAAACTCTTAGGAGGCCAGCATTAATGGTACAAAAAGATGTTTTGTTTTTCACTGAATATTATATGCATGAATTGGAATAAATCTACTCTAGAGCTAGTGATTAAAATTAAGCTTTAAAGCAAATGTTTCATAAAACAGAACAAAATTGTTATTTTGAAAAAAAAAGAATTACCAAAATTAGACAACTATGCAACAGTTCTGCTACATGAATGAAAAAAACACCCCAAACCAGTTCTTATTCATGAAAATTCATGTTACATCTTAAAAATTAGATGGAGGGAGGTTATACTTTTTCTCCAGTAATATACATTGTTCTCTTCTAACTATTCACAAGTAAGAAATTATGTTTAGTACATTGTTCATATATTTAATAGATAACATGTTAAAAAATGTTTGCCTTTCTTGGCTTGGATGACTTTAAATTTTATTCCCTCCACTATCTCTTCTTGGGAAGAATTATGAGCGAGAGTCAAATGCCAGATGTTTGGTGAGCTTTGCTTCAAAGATTGAATAGCAAAACTTCAATATGTTAAGAAAGTACTTGGAATCCTTTTACATGTATGTAATTGAATTCAAATCAATAAAACATCCCTATTTATATCAATGCACACTTTCTAACAGTACTTTATGTGAAAATGCCTCTGCCTGAGTTTATGCATTTTTCCTGGAAACTCACCATCCTGTTGATCCTTGGAGAATTCGATCTGTTAGAAAAAAATCAATCATATAACAAAATACTTTTTGGAATTCACAGCATCCTGCTTGCTCCATGAAACATCTTCCCAAGATGCAAAGAAAGGGACAGTTTTTTTTTCTTACAATATCGGAGATGCTACTAAACTGCTAATGAAATAATACATCCATAAACCAATGAACATGCAACATTTGTTATCACAATATTAAATTGCAATAATATTCAGTAATGTTCCACTTACCAGCAATTTGATCAGCACTGAAAGACTGCATTTGGCAACAAGAAGAAGAGGGGAAAAAAGGAAAATACTGGTATTGTTGGAAAAAATTGCACTGACAGACAAAAACTATACATATCCTATAGCTAATGGCTACATTCAAGAATTAGCAGGCCAAGGGTGCACTCTACTAATGATAAAAAGATCAGTGTTATATCTTTCTATATGCAGTGAGAAATATGGAAAAGTAATATCAATATGGTATGATACATATTACAAATCAAATAAATTGCTGCTTTCCATTAGTTAACACAAGGTAAGAAGCAGCAGCATTACATTTAAAAGAGCTATGAAAGTAGACTTAGGGAGGTACAAACTTACACTTACTTATAGGAATAAGTCCCATTTAATTAAATGAAATTTACTTTCGTGCAGACATGCACAGGACTTTTTAGATAAAGATTTATCTGCCCTTTCAGTTCTATACAAAATAACTTGCTTTTATGATGGGTCACTGGGATTCCTGCACACAATAATTTTAATAAACTTGAGTTACTAATAGCAACTTGCTATAATGTTGTGGGAAATGTGCAAGCTAATGAATGAATCAAGAATTCCTAAGTAACCCCAATACATAAATGTAACTGTAATGTACACACAATTTGTATGTTACACATCTACAAATTTCAGTCTGATTTTGCTGGGCATTGCCCCATTAAAAATCTCACTAAATTGGTTTCTGGACTGCCTTATTATAACTAGCACAATGTTGGAAATTATAATGTTACATATAGCTAAGCAGAACTTAATTTTCTTGGAAACCCACCATGACTGAGAAAGCTGGAAGGAAAGAGGAGGAGCAGGAGCAGGAGCAGCAAGGCCGACAGACTTAGCCGCGAGGCGTCTGAATCCCTGGGAGTGGTCCTTATTCCCTGCTCTTAGATCTTTTTATTGAACTGAAGACAGTGACATCAGTGGCAGGATTGGGTGCCAAACTGGAGCAGCCACTCCCCCTGGGAGAGTTCTTTAGCTTTCTTAGGGCAAAGAGAAGGAAGGATCCATTTCTTGATGGATCTCTGGCATAGACTATTTTTAGGACACTGCAGAGAAGATAGGGTGCTGTTCACTGTTTCGCAGGGCTGGAATCTTGTCAGCATTCTATCACTCCTCAACTTAAATGTGGAACACTTCTTAAGTAGTCTACCTGTTTATTTAAAGGACTACTGAGTGAACAGGAGAGATAATGGGTCAGCAGTTTGGTTTGGCTTTTAATGTTTTCACTCAAGTTTGAACTGGATATATTTATTCTGGAGAACTGAAAGATTGACCAGGGCTATAACAGCACTCTTCGATGCCCAAAGGGCAGTGACTTAATAGTTTCCTGCTTCCTTAGAAGACTGTGGCTAGTGCATTTAAAGGAATGAATATGAGGAACCATGTTTAGAAAGGAGCAATTTGATAGTGGACACTATTTCCTTGATTGCTCCTACTCTTCCCCATACCGAAGGTCTGTCAGTCCTCCCTAAAATGGTCTTGAGCTATGTGTGTAGGGCCTTATAAAGACTTCCCCAAGTCTCATTGCCTTCCCTCTCACCCTCATCCCCAAATGGGAAACAGAATGCCAGGGCACAACAAGACCGCACCTCTAGAAAGCACGGGAGGTTTCCCGGTGGACTAATCTAAAGGCTGGTCATTGTGATTGGAGATCTGGGACAAAACCCGGTATGTTCTCAGGCCTTCTCTTTAGAAACATGAAGTTGAATTTCTGGGCTAAATTTGAACACAATAGGAGTACTGCATGCTTATTTTATCAATCAAGTGGGATGGAGGCACTTATGAGTGACAAGAGCTGGTATTTACTCCCAAAAGAAACCCTAGTGTTCAAAAGTTTGTCCTAGTATGGTACAAATCATGTCAAATAAGGTTTTGTTCAAAATATATTACAGATCGATGCATTTTATTGATGCACAGCTTAATTTTAATTATAAGTGGTTAAATGTACAGGTAATAGATCTAATCTAATCTTTGATTTTCTGGATTAGAAAAGCAACATGAGAAAACAATTGGTTCCTAGTGTATTAGGCCACATTAGAAGCACCATGTGTAAAGTAACAAATCTAATCCTCACTCTAAGCCCTTTTGTTTCAAAAACAAACTTTCCACATATTTACAGGGACTAGGCAAAAAAGAAACAGCACTTTGCTTCATCACTCCTACATCCCATTCCTATATCTGAATAGATGCATGGGGTGTTAACCGTTGACTAAATACACATTCTTATTTGGACATAATGCCAAGCTTCAGTATCAGTGATGAACATAGAGCAAATGCTGGTTATATGTTGCATTTAGCTCCCTGTATTTTAATCCTTTCTTACCCAGATGTGTCTGAATGTATACACAGTGCCTGGCATTAACTAGGAAACTACAGCGTGACTTACCATGTAATATGAATATGCCTATATTCTTTATATGTATGGGATTATTTATGTGTATCCCCAAGCAATGCAAAAATTGGGTTAATGGGCTTAAATTAAAGCTCCCTATTTTTTCAAGAATCAGGTTGTAAAAATACCCATTAATGGTATTTATGCTATCTATAAAATCAAAGATGCAAATTGAATAATTATTTCCAGTTACAAAATAGATAACTCTAGACCTAGGTAAGCAAACCTAAGTGATATGCTTCTGATTTGGCAAGCTTTGGAGTTCCACAAAATGAAACAGGTTCTTGACAAAGAAACCAAAATCAAATCAAGAGCATCATGACACTCCAAGAGCATTTTGGTGACAGGCAGGAGCTGTATCTGCAGCTTTGAATTGTATCTCAAGTTTTGAATTCTCCAAGATAGGTCTGGGAGGAATATGATAGGTGATTGATAAATCTATCTTCCTAATTCCAGAGTGTCAAAAATTAAACTTAAACGGGCACAGACTCTTTAAAAATTAATTATTAAGTCTTCTACTTATTTTTTTAACACTGATGAGGATTCATTGAGATTTACTGAGCCTCCAGACTTCAATCCTTTCCATGAAAATTAAACACACTTTTGATGGTTTCCCAAGCTCATCACTAGGAGTCTGAAATTCTTCATTTCTTAGATCTGACTTCTGGCATATGTCATGCAAAAGTTTGGAACTGACACGTATCATTTAAAGTAAAAGTTCAAAGATAAACAGAAGCAGTAACAAAGATTGTCAAGTCTGATTTTCTAGGCACAGGGTCTTTCAATACAAATATTGTATTTTGAAACAAGGTAACTGCACTCAACTACTTGTCATACTTTTCTTGCAGATTCTGCCACATGGGATTTGGTATTCTTATGGCTCCAAGTATTCTGCCAGAAAGAAATCAGGGATAGGAACTAGAAGCAGAACATTTCATTTTTAACAATTTATTCACATTGCTTTTGTCATTCTTGAAAATTTCCAGAAGCTATAAATTAATAGCTTGTATGCCTAGTACTTAAACATGGAGAGGCAGATCAAGCATTAAAGAAAGCGATTTTCACTAATGTTACATTTTATTAATAATCCTTTAAAAGCATGCTCAGAATTGATTTAGAAGAAACAAACCTCAGCTTAAACAGATTCATTTACTTTTTTAAAAATCATTTTGGTTGTCATAGTAACAGGGGTAACAAAATGTTAAATAGAAACTGTTTAAAAATAAACCAAGAAGGCCTTTGCTTTTTCTAATACACAGTGATTTATAATCATAAAATGTCACATTTATAGAGGAAGAATAGAATGTTCATCCCTATTCTGGGTAACACATTTTATATTACAATTTTCATTTTATTCTATCATGAGTTAATTAATGAATTCAGCAACAAAAACACTATTAATGAATGAGTGTGGAGCGATAGTTGGAGAATTCTGTGCCATGGAAATAATTGATTAGGAAGTTTTTTTACTTGGTGAGTCACAGGAGAAGATCTCCATCTTATGAAAGAAAGATGGAAAGACTTTGAAGTGAATGCTATTGAAACAGTAAATGTCTATGGAGATTCTCAGTCATCCAGGTCATGGTTTTCCCACAGGTGCTTTTTCAAGAGGCAACTGAACTTCCTTTGTTTTGAAATGGTGTCACTGCACAGAGTGGCTCTGAAGAAAGAGCATTGCACCACCAGGCCACCGCCATAAAAAACAGCCTCTCCCTGTGCCTCAAGAGGACTGTGGTTAAGCCTCAGCAGATTGAAAGGCATGATACTGGCTGAAAAGCTGCAGGGAATATTCTACTGAGTTGCCTTTAAAGGAGACCATATTGACCTCTGCTGGCCATAACAGCCAGTTGCAGGCAGATCTTGCTGTCTGCAGGTCCAGTTTTGAATCGCAGAGGAAAAGCGAGTGCTTGTTGGAGAATATTACTGAAGAGATGACTCTTAGGAGCAAGTTAATCATCATCAGATCAGGAATTCCGAAATTCATAAAAGGGAATCAGCTTTGAGCCTGGGCTGTTTTAAAGGGAAAAGGGTGTGCTTCTTTTCATTGTGTTTACAGTAGCAGTTGGGAGTGAACCTTGATGCATATGACTCAGGTTCTTTCTCAAGTAAAGTTGCTTATTAGGCAATAAATGAACAGTCAACTGTGCTAACTTCCTATTTATGGTTGCTATATTTATCGCTAACATGGGCTGCATTTGCATGGCACACTAGTTGGCCATGTGACATATAGAACCATGCATTAACTATACTGGCCAGGTTTCCATAATAGTGAAGTACCCAAACTAATAGAGTCCTTTCTAATCTACAAGGAGGATGAGGGAAACCGTGATATGATGGCTATCAAAAC